ACTCATTCTTGGTGCTGTTACATGCCTTTTCTTCCATTTAGACCATTATATTCTTGCAGTAGTTTTAAAAAACTTCCCATTTGCTTTCTATGTACTTCCTTTCAATTTGTATAATTTTCTATAATATATCTATTTATACTTATTAAATTTTGTTGTCTGAAAATATTTTTTTTTATCATCACACACCATTTCCGAGCTTCCAATTTGTGTTGATTTCACAACAAATCATTGAGTTTGTTTTGATGAATTCACTGGAGGTCTAAGGCTTTGGAAAGACTTGAGAAACACATTCATTTTCATTATATTGTGTCTCAGACATATCACTCGCTCCTTGAACGTTTGTCTTCCAGTTCAATGGTGGAGTTGATATTGATAAGCCTTCTCCATGATTAACAGGTCTGAGAGCAGATTATATAATTGGATATTCAATTTTATATTATTTTTAATATTGCTTTATTTTGGTGCGTCACAAGCAGCAATCCTCGAATGATTGATAAAATTACTGATAAGTTTATGTTATCGTAACAAATAGACTCCGACGTTGGGAGGTCGGTAAACGGAAGCGAAAAACGAGATAGAGGACATTTGGTTTCGTATTTCAAATGAGGATGGTACCTTTTAATCGATTAAACATGTATTTTGGCATAGAATACTTCGGAAATTGTGCATTGGGCAGGCTCAACGATGTCTTAATCGCGAAATCAAGGCCACGTGTAGTAGCGAAGCGTCGTGGGCGTGCGTTGGACAGCCTCTAGGACGCTTTGTGGCGGGAGCGTAGCGAAGCGTCACATCGCCTTAAAATTTTGAGACGCCTTTTCGCTTCCGGGGGCGTGTTGATGTTCGCCCCGTTCTCCCGGAAATGGCCCGAATTCTTCTCGTTCGTTACGATAAAGGAGGATTCAAGAAATACTCACTCGCATGTAATAAAAGCTATTTGTTTGGTCAGTTGAGCTTTAGCCTTTGGCTCTTACCTTATCCTGACCTATGTGAAGAGGGAGAACGAATCAATTACACCTGCTCACTTCACCTCCAGCTCCTCTCACAGCTCCAGTAGAGTTACATTTGAGGAGTAATCTTTCAAAACGTGACACATTCACTTCACGTAATAAAAATGAAAAATATCGCACAAATTTTACACTTCAACAGTCTTTAACTCAACGAATAGAATACTTCTTAATGTATTGTAAGACGTCTCATGCTTTTTTTGAAATAAAATTCTAGGTAAAAACAAGAGAACTGAATGTTGGCCAAATGGACGTGTTTGAATGGTTGCTTCTCGATATGTCCAGAAGCAAAATAAGGGTTAAATCATCGTTTGTTCAAAACTTCAGGGAAATTGGACGAAAACCCTGACCTAGATAGGAGGGTGATTGACTCAGAAGCTGAAGTGCAATTCTCGTTGCAGACATATTTATCCTTTTAAATTACACAGAGTTTCATCTGTGCGGTACGCTGCAAGCTAAAGTGGCCCCTGGCCTTGGCGAAAGCCGCCTGCTTCACTTACGGCAATGCTGCGCTGTTGCGGTGCATTACACATCGCACACCAGTGCTCACGTGAATGTTGATCACGTTTTACGCTACGCCCTGCAAAAATTCTAATAGATGAATGACTGTCGCGAGTATGGGTATGTTCTATGTCCTGATTTGATCGCGGTCGTCTATTGATAAAACGTCCTTCCTCAAATTTGGGCGTATGTTCGCTATGACGCTATCTTAATTTACTAGATCGAGATTCAAGCAATAATGCCGGCCGGTAATTTTTCACCATCGCAGGGGCAGACTACTTGCATGCAATGAAGACGCGCTTAATCCTTGCGCGTGCAGCGGGTTGCGGAGAGATGAGGGGCGCTTCAGTCGTCATATACGATGTGATAAATGACGTTATTGTACTGTCGTTGTTTATTCGTAAATCTGTTACATGGAGCGGCAAAGGTGCGAGCGGGGTGGGCGTCCAGGTATCGCCCTCCTCAGGGTTGCCCACTGGCGTCCCCTTTTGGCCTCCCGCGGTGGCACTTCTTGCTTGAAAAGGTTTTCAGGCAAAAGTTAAACCCCTTGCGTCCACGTCGGGCGACAACATTCGGCGCCTAGCGCCCCCTTCATGTAAAAATTGGATACGTTTAGATTTTAAGAAAATTCCACCCGTGATAAGTGCTGAATAAGTTTCTCTAGTAAATTCAAAAATCAGAATCATCCCGGTGTGTCACACTGCCTGGTGCTTGGTAGCGCATGCTTCCCTCCTCCTAATCAAAGCAGCCGGGCGACGTAAGGAGATGTACACGGAGACGTCAGGCGTGAGTTGCCCTAGGAATGCAAATATGGCCCTCAACCGTATTAAAGCTTCTAGGCGTGGCACGCGAGACCTTGGAAGTTGCCCAAACCCTGGTTTTTCGAAAATTGAAGTTCGAAATTTTTTCAACGTCGTCCTACAACTAAAATATTAAAGATAGGGACTTATCCGTTAATGAAATCTGTTCCATAAAATAAATTTTAAAATCGTCTTGTACAATTTTTTGAAAATTTGAATTTTACACAAAAATGACTGAAATATAATTCGCAGAGAAATTGCTATGTAAATAGTATTACGTAAGCATTACTGAGGGCAAGAAAGTGTGTGTTGTTTTAGCACCGCTATTTTGTTTTTTCAAATCGTTCCGTGCTTTTATTGTACTTTATTATTTGAAAAATACCATGTCCCACTCTTAATTGTACTGATGAGTTCCAAACAGTAGTTGGTTTGAATTTTTTAGGCTTTATGGCATTCAGCTTAATTCAAATTTACTGATTAATGGCGTCGCTCGATATCTAAAAAGAATTTCTCGAACTTTCGTCTGCACCGACATATGTTTGTCGAGCATTGCTTTAAGTCCTATACGAGTATACAATGTTTACCCATTACGTATGGCTGAGCCGTTCATTGCTAGGTGTCCTGCTACGATAATGCTTTTTTTTTAAATACCGACCACTGCAGAACGGCTACTATCTCTATTCACTTAGATTTTCCATACGTGAAGTGCAGATAATATCCCTGAATTGGTCCTGCATAATCATATGTGAATCCGCTGCCAATTGTTCTCTGGTTCTTCCCACGGAGCTTTTGGAGGATTATTCTTTATTTCAAGACGTGCGGGACAAGAGCAAACCAAAGTTTTGTTGTCCTTATCGAGGTTTCTCCTGTAGACGTGTCGGCGAGCGAGTTGCTTCATTTTCGATATCGTGGCCCTGCCGTAGGGAGTGCAACGTGCCTCTTCTCTCTCCCTTCCTCTCCCCTTCTGTCTCTCAAGCACACTCATGCACACCCAGGCATACTTGTATATTCATTAGCGTTGACAATGCCAATTAAACACAGAGCATCTTAAGAAGTCTGATAGCATTTATTATTAGAGTCTGATTGCCTCGAAACTATTCGGCACCTTCCAGAACAGATGTGTTAAGAGTTCTGTTGTACACGTTGGTTCAAAACCTTTTTACTCGCACTTTTGCTATACAGTATTTTCCATAAGCTTGTTGTACACATTTTAGACTAAAAGTAAAAGTTACCAAAAACTTAAAACAATCTAGGTAATTTGCCGTCTGCACTGTGTGACGAAACACAAAGTCAATTCATCGCTGCTTCTTTTCAGCAAATTTCTTTTCATGCTTGACAAGAAAACGTACACTCTAGCTTCGGTTTTTCAAAACGCATTAATACCACATAGTTAACAAAATGCATTTGGGTTTTCATTAATTCGAAATGGATTTGTGATTGCAACTCACTTCAAAATATAAGAGAATGTGCGTATAATATTAAATGAAGACAATTCTTATGATTCTAACACTGCACAGCAATGTGTTCGCGTTTTGCGCGCTAGCAAAGAACTGTTCCATAGGAAGAGATTATAGCTCTTTTCAATGGAGAGATATCTCACGCTTCCACCGTTCATTGCCACACGTATTTCTCCTACAAACTTGTACTAGTTGAGTGTTATCTCTTCGAGACATGTCAAGGCACTAGCTGAGATCGCCACTGTGCAGAGGCAGTGGCGATTGCACACTTAACCAAATGCTTCTACCGTCCATAAAGCTTCCGTCGTTCCCTTTTCCCTTCTCTTCGTGTACTGTGTCATCAGAGTACTTCTCTGACTCGCACCCATGTAGAATTTGGTCGATAATTCTATTGAACTCAGCAGGCGCTGTTTTCATACTGAAAGACGTGGTCGATCCAGTACGATATTTTCCTCTTTGAGTCGATATCGTTTGTTTCACTCATGGTGCAAAATTTTCCACCGTAATTTCGCTTGATTGTTCGTCTACTGGTGCCACAAATAAGCTATAAGTAAGTCCAAACGCCAGAAAAATCGGGATTCGTGAGGGCTGTTGAATATGTATTTTTGCTGTTTCTCGCCGGTCTGGCAGGTGTAATTACCTTGGATCCCCGGACGCAAGAGACCCCCAACGGCATTTTTTAAATATTTCACTAAACACATTTAAAAGACCCCTTCTGAAAGCGATTTTTTTATTATCATAAATGGACTAATGTAAAATTTGAAATGCGTTTTTTATTATGAGGATGCAAAGATGTTTCCAAATTTAGAATTTAATATCTGGTGCCCCAATTATTTTTTGCTTCATTTAAAGATTTGGGGGGGGGGGCAATTTTGTTATGCGTGATTTGAAACAAAGCAAAAGTCCGCAGGAGTCAATTCTGACTTTTGTGATTGATGATGATTAATAAAGTTTCTTTTAATTAGTATTCAGCACGCTTTTTTAGTTGGATGAACATTTTTGAGGGGCCCCCCAATTTCGTTCTTAAACTGGAGGTTTTTGGATCGGATAATGGGCGTTTGAGAGTTGCTCATTTACCTGACCTTACAGTCGATGCACAGTCAAACCTCTTTGTCAGATTTCGATAAAACTACAACAGGAGATTCCCATGCAGTCTTTTTGTCAAGTATTTTTCTTCATTTTTGGACTTTCTAAGTATACCAGACTTTCTAATTATGCTAATTTTTTACAGACTCAAGATGTGTGATATCATCTCTCTTACTTATGATGAATATCTGGGAGGAATTGTTGAAAATTTCAAGAAGCTATTAGATAACAATGTGTTGCTTGATTGTACAATATCTGTTGAAGGGCAGTTTCTGAAAGCTCACAAAATAGTTTTGTCCGCTTGCAGCCCGTATTTTGAGGTAAGTAATTTTCCTTGCCTGACATACAAATATTCTCAACATGCACTTGTGTACTGAAACGATATTGTAGAGGTTACCCTCTACAAAATCCTGCAATAACATCCCTAAGATGCTTGATTTCTTTAATTGTAGACATAAAAAGAACTATAAATAAGTGCAAACTACTTAGAATGGTATGAAATATGTTCTTAAGTCAAAATAAGTGATATTCAAGATAAAAAAAAAACTTTTACGTAAATGTATTCATACTTAAGAACAGTTGTTTGTTTGTTTTTTTCTTAGTTTAATAATGTAATGTTAATTCATTAGTAAAGAATATGAATGTTTTTATTGGTGAAATAAATAATTGAAAGGTTAATTGAATAATTGATGGTTCAGTATTTCTGGGTTCTCGGTTTCAGATACAAATCAACATTAGTTATTTTGGGGAAATATTATTTGGAAATGCCTTCAACATTTTTTGGGGTTAGTTCCATAAGTTGCACAATATGCACAGCAAGCATGCTCATGATACCAGACATAAGTTCTAATATTTTTATTTCAAAATGATAGTAACCAATTTTGTTTGTCTCACACTAGAATATTGGATTAAAAACTGGTCATAAAACAACCATTTTTTGAACAACTTACAAAATATACATGTATTTATTAATTTTCTTTTGTCTTTCATTATAATCAGAGAAATTTGAATATTTTTGTTTATTTTTAGTCATTGTTTTGTCAAGTGGGTGAGCAGTATCCAACTATCATTCTGCCTGAAATTTCTTACAATATCCTGAAAGCTATAATTCAATTTATTTATAGTGGAAAAGTTAGCATTCCTCGGAAAGATCTTGCAGATGTGTTAAAATGTGCGGAAATGCTGCAGATAATGGGACTTGGAGGAGGCAGAAGTGTAAGTGATTGTCATTGTACTTCGATTAAGGTCTGCTCTAGATTAGTTGTAGGTGTGTTGGTATCTTCTTAAAATGTAATTTAAAATCTTATTTCTAGATTGTGGAATTGACTAATGATGATAATACAGTTCAGTCTGTGACTGAAAATCAAGAGGTTTGGCATCAGAGTAAAATAGAAGATGATGTTCAAGTGATTGGATTCAAAACAACGTGTTGTGAGTAAAATATTTAAGTTGTGCAAGAAGTGCCTGTTGTTCTTGAGGGCCTAGAAAATAAGCACTCCAGCGTTAGTCTGTTATTGCATGTATCTCAGGATTGCTGCTTTGGAAAGCACCCAATTTACTCAAGTAGGCTGCTTTTTTATTTCTGGGTTGTTTTTTCTTTCTTTCTTTCTTTTTTCTTCTACTTTTTGATGTACAAATGTCTATCGGACATGAATAATTACAATATTTTTACAGTTCAGTAAAATATAACTAATAATATTTAATATAATTCCTAAGATTACCCTGAAAGGGTCCTACATTTTTTTTTCTTTCTGAACAAGTATATTAATTTAGTTTGTAAATAATGAACAATTTAAATGTTTCTAAAATGTTTATGTGCTTCTGCAGTGCAAATTGTTGCATAGAAAGTATGTTTTCAAACCAACTTTTCAGTGCTTATTTCGGCTCAGCCATTCGGAGTATCCAAGGAGTTTATTCGACAAAATATGCTTAAAATTGTGTTAAGAGCTTAATTTCGAAGTTTCGACGTTACCTCCGTGGACATTCTGTATGTAGTATAGATAAAGTTATGTAATGCTGCGACAAAAGACGGTGATTTTTCGATAGAAAATTCTTATTGACGGCCTACTGAAAAAATGGACAAATCCTGTTCTAATATGTAGTAAATTACTCGCTCTAGCACGTTATGCAGTCAGTTTTTTACGAATAGTGAATTCTCGATGCCGCAAAATTGGTTTACAGCAAACCGTCCGTCCGTCTGTGAACAACACTAGCGCCTAACTAATCCCTCCGATTTTTTTCAAAAATAAATACCCACCGGTCGATCTGGTCCTTCACGAAGCACTGAGATTTTGAAATATTTTTTTTAATTGTGGGGGTACTACTTTACATACAGCACTTGGGACATTTCCAAAATTTTCTCAAAAACTGCTCCAATGTTTTCATTAAATTTCTTGTAAGAATGGAGAGAAATACTATTTTAAACACGACATGGGTTTGATTTTCACTCTCAACCCTAGATTTTCGGAAATTGTGAATGTTTGAAAACTTCCTCCTACTACGATATTGAAGATATCGTAGCATCGTAGAAGGTATCGGATATTGACGATTTTTCTTCACATTAAATTTGTTTTCCACAATCAGTTCTTTCATTATTGTCTTAGTTTTTTGTTGAAAATTTTAGTGTTTTCCCCATAAGTTTGAGTGAATTAGGAACAGTATTAAAAAGAAGCGGCTCCATCTGTTTGCTGCAAACTCTTTTGCAGGGGTAGTACGTGGCTTTCCGTGGTGACGCGCGCGCGCGCGTGTGTGTGTGTGTGTGTGTGTTGTAGCTCCAGAGCCGGTGATCGTGGCGGTGGAGTCGATGTCGCAGGAGGCGGCGGCGGGGGCGGTATTGACGGTGCCTCGGCGCCCGCGCGCCCGCCCGCCCTCGCTCTCTGCGGCGGCCAAGCGCCTTCTGGGGCGCGCCCCGGCCCCGGCCCCCAACCCCGCCCAGCCGATCCTCGCCGCCACCCGCCGCCGCCCCCTGCGCCGGCGCCCACGACGACGAGGAGGAAGAACAACTGGACTTGGAGGCCATCCCGAAGACGAAGAAAGACGACGACGACGACGATGAGGAAGACGAAAGATGACAGCAGCGGACCGGCACGAGGCGTGGCCGTCGTCGAGATGCACCACGCCGCCCGCCGCCCGCCGGGAGACCCTCGGTACACGCCCCCACCGCTGCAAGTATGGCGCTTCTCGCTCGCTCCACACACCTTCATTTCCACTTGTCGCCACGCGAGACAAAACTCTTTTTGCCGGGCGCTGGACCACCCGTCCACTTGCTAAATTCAGAAAAAAAAATCCTCAAACTCGTGCGGTTCCCACAATCCACGATTTGTGGACCTTGATCCGAAAAGTAGAACAACGCTAGTGGTTAAATCGTTCAGCCGATTTTCTCCAAAATCGATATTCCTATCGATCTGACTATGTCGCTCCTTAGAATTTCGAATAGAAATTTAATTTTGGAGGGTATTTTACACCTGGAATTTTTCAAATTTTGCAAAAAAAAAGTCGCTTCTTTGTTTTTACATCAAATTGTGTTGTTGAATAGTGTGAAGGACGTCTAAGAGAATAGGGGAGGTCTTCATGTTTCGTTAAAAACCCTGATTATTCAAAAATTGCAAAAGTTCAAAAATTTCCAGCATTTTTCTACAAAAAAACATATTAAAGATACGGATTTTCCCTTAAAATAATAACTGTTCCGTAAAGATAGATTTTGAAATAGGTCATGTAAAATTTCTCAAAATTTGAGTACTTTCGTGTAACTTTGCGTGAAACTAAGACGAGAAAGTACACGTGCTGTTTCAGCACACACTAGTTTAATTTAACAATTTTAATAATTTAACAAGAATCAAAAAAGTTTACACCGGCTGAGATGGGCTTTCTCTAAGGTGGCGAACTAGCTTCATTTACTCCGATTTAAACATACGGCCCTTCAAGGTCACGGGTTGGAGAAAATTAAGCTCCTAACGAAGCTCCAGATTGGATGACCCGTCCCCTCTCCGTCCAGTCCGTCACCTTGAAGAGCCACTCTGTTTGAATCGAGTAAGTTGGTCGAATTCAGCTGTTGGAGGAGAATTCTAGACTACGTCACCTTGCCTACCGCTTTAAACACAGACTTACAAATGAAGAAAAATATGTTACTACGTTCTATTAATCTTTTCCTTGTGTTTTTCTTCAATACTCTCTCTCCCACGGTACGCCACTCGTCTCGAGTGATGAGGCCGACCTCAGGTGGCTCAGTGCAGGGTCTCAAAGGTGGCAGGGTTTTGGATTTGATAAGAATACGTCGGTGAATTTAGCTGCGGTGGAAGACAAGCCGCACCGGCCTGCTGCTTCCCACGTGGAGCTTCCCACCAGCAAGCTGCCTCTCCTCTTCCGTGTCCTGTCTATGGAGTCCTCAGCCAGCCGAGTGTAGGCGGCCCCGGATCTCGCCATCCCAGCTGCGGAAGATCCTCGCTGAGTAAACATTCGAGTACACCAACGAGCTAGAAGTAAGCGATGCAAGCAGAAGATAGACTCGATTAGTGATTCCGGGCGCGCGCAGACTTGCAATGCTCAAAACGCAGTAACTGGAGTGCTTTCTCTTTTTATCGCGGGAGGGTCGGCGCGTCTTGCTCCGCTGTTTTGCGCAGACTCCGGCGCCGACCTACCCGCCGGCAAGAAAGTTTTCCCGCGCAGCGGCCCCCCCCCCCCAGCGCGGGCAAGTCTTGCCCACCGACCGGGCTCCCTGCCGAGGGACAAGGGAGGGGAAGGGATGTGCCGGTGCGTGCGTCCTGCTCGCGCATGAAGGCAGCTGCAACTGAATTGTAGTGGAGGCCCTGCAGTGTGTGTGCGCGCAGGACGTGCGCATCCGCTACCCCGATCGTGCGCCTTCCGCGTGCTGGACGAGCCGCGCAGCCGCCGCCGCCGCAGCCCTCGCAGCCCTCGCAGGCCGCCTGCCCCGCCGTCGGGCTACATGTGCGTCATCTTCGGGGGCGTCGTCCGCACCGCATGGCTCGCGGCAGACACCGTGGCGGCGCACCGCCGCGACAGGCCCTTCGCTCCGCGCGCGCTGCGGCGCGTCTTCGCCGCGCCGCGCCTGCGCCGCCCACACGCTCGCCCACGGCGCACGCCACTCGCCGCGCTCCCACCCGCGCGCCCGCGCCGCGCCCGCCCCCGCCGCCCGCGCCCGCGCCCCCGGCGCCGCCAAGCAGCCGCGCCCGCCGCCCGCGCCCACGACAGCCCTACCCCCGACCGCCCCCCGCGCGCCAAGCGGCCGCGCCCCCGCACCAGCCCGGCCGCCGCCCTGCAGTCCCTGCGGTGCCCCGTGTGCGGCAAGGCCTACAGCACCGCCAAGCGCCTGCGCGCGCACGTGCGCCTGCACCAGCGCCACCAGTGCGAGCGCTGCCCGCGCCACTTCGCGCTCGCCGCCGCCCTCGCGCGCCACCACGCCGCCGCGCACACGCCCCTCCGCCACTAGGGCCGCTATCTACGAAATTAAAGATAACACAATTTCCTACGAAATCCATATATACATTTTAATTTTGTGAAAAACTATTTAGGCGCTTCAGCGCGCTGAAAAACAGTGATTTTTTTTTGGCCCTCTGGTCAAAACGGAGAAATATGCATCTAACTGCTTCGACAAAATGTACTTTTTGAGATACAAGCGAAAAATTAAGGGCCACATTTTTAGTTCTTTTGCAGTTTTTTCTCAGAAGTCGACCTTGATTGAGGTGGCAAACAAAATTCCAATTCAGCATCCCAAAAAACATACTGAACGGGAGAAAAAAATACTTATGGAATTTTTTCATGGACCGCGAACTTTTGAGCACCATGTGACAGGACTATTCTTAAATAATTTTAAAGTTTATTTTGTACATATATTGAAAGGGCACTTTGTCAACTTTGTCTTTGTAAATAGAGTAATGTCTTTTTATTATTTAGACTTTTATTATTATTATTATTATTATTATTATTATTATTATTATTATTGTTATTATTATTACCTTTTTTTAATTGGCACCTCCAGCTTACTGGCACTAATCACTCAAGCCAAAAACAACACCTGGATGAACATTTCAAGAACAGAAAATGTTACTTTACAAGTCCAGGTTTGAAGCCTACGCAACAGAGCACCACCCAAAACTGAAATTTAGAAACAAGTAGCATATTTTTCATGCTATTTTGATTGATTTTGCGCCTAAAAACACTTTAGAAATTGCATGTTTACAGTACTCTGTGTCAAAATAAATTTTCTTACCAACTTATGAAATTCAGTAGTGCATAACATCATTTCTAGTTTGTTCTCCAAATACATGTCTACCAACAATGCTGATCATTACCACCATCAGCATGTAAAATGAAAATACTCTTGTGAATATAAATATGAAATACTCTTGGAAATAATCAAACTTTAAAGTTGGTAGACTGATTTATAATCGACCTTCAGTGCCTCTTCTTCATAGTATTCAGCCAAGTTTTTATGTAATTATCTTATAAACTTACAGTATTTCTATGAGGATATTCCAATGATCAATGAAGTCTTTATTCAATTTCTCTTTGCTTATAGACTTGCTATAGTAATTATTTTCACCAATTACAGAACCATCTGTACTTTTCTTGACAGTGTTCATATTAGCTGTCATCTTTATTATATGAATTTTTATTTTTGTTTTCCTAAGTATTAAGCTTAGGATTCCTTTGTAATTTGGTTTACAATAGACAGGATGTTTTTCATAATGATAGGACTTTCAACATTTATTTCTGTGGATATATTTTGAGCTCTTAATACAGTAAAACCTGTCTAACGCAGAACCTGGATAAGGTGGAACATGCCTTCACCGGAAAAAATTATCAGAACGGACTATTTTCCATTGCAAAGTTCACTGGAAGAGCAATCCTTACACAATTTTGATGCGTGATTTGGATTTAGCACTTCTGAACGTTTATTATTGTCCAGTTTGACAAGTTACAGGTATTGTGTTAATCAAGTGTTTATAATCTCAGGAGGCAAATTTAGGAAGCAAACATTGTGAGAAAATTAGACTGATTCAAGAACACGAACAAAACAACACTACAGTCTAGGTTTTGGTAAAGAAATTTAAAGTTAGGAAAACTCAAGTGTATGACATCTAAATAACAAAGACAAAATCACTAGTGTGTGTTTAAAAGAAATTTTTTATAGGTGGTTGCCACTATATTCATGAGGACCTAGTCGAATATTCAAAGCCTAAATCTTTCATTCGTTCCTACAACTATTGTTATAAAATGAATAGAATATTTCTATTACTTTTTATGGTGCTCTTTGCTTCATTAGACTTTGTGCTGCGTTTGTGTATATCATTTTCTATGTCTCTCCCAGGACATCTTCATTCTCTTGGAATGTTATTTTTAGGTGAGACTCGTACAACTTATTCCATCTTTGAATGATTGTATTTTCTAAATTGCCAGTTTTAAATGAAAAACATTTAGCAAGCCAGAAATCTGCAAAAGGTGGGAGAAAATGTTGGACCCAAACAATTCTGGCTTAGACAGGTTTTACTGTATATGAGTTAACCAATCATCTCATCAATATAACCAATCTTCCCTGATTAGTTTACCCTTACCTTTTTTTCTATCAAGTCAACCAAATACTCAAAACTTCTAAATTCTTTTCTTGCACTTTTATTTTATCTTCTTTTGGGGGGGGGGGTAACATCACAACCCTTTCATTACTGGAGTTCCAGAACGTTTTCTCAAAAGATTTTTGTAAATATATGTTGAAGAGGTTTGGTGACAAACTTTGTCACAATCTTTTGTAATAAAAATATTTTCCGGACATTCTCTTCCTATTTTCGTCTTAGGAATCATAAATATGTATTTATTATTGTCAACATCAACCATTTATTAATTTTGAAATCTTTAAAATCTTCT